AAAGATAGAGATTAATTTGAAACACATTTAGATAAGCCAATCTTTACACAAATAATCATTTCCAAATTACCCCAGCCATTACCAACAAACATTTCCTCTATAAAAACGAAAATAACAACCAATCTAACTACATTTCTAAATAGGATTTTATCTTACGGTTAATTAGAAAAATAAGAGTCCTTTAGTAGCTTTTTTTCTCTGCTGAAATTCATGCTACGTTCCGGCAGTCGTCCAGGCTGTGTCTCCGTCCATCTCCTCTTCTTTCTCTCTTCTCCCATCTTTCTTAAATTAACAAGTTATGTCCTTGTCCGACGGAGTTTAGATAAGATAAAGGTCATCTTGCTCTTCTTGACTTTTTTTCTTCTGCTGAAGAAGAACTGACCTTGTACATTTTTTCTCTCTAATTAGCACCTGGACACAAGCGGATTTCTAGCTTTTTCGTTGCTGCTCTGAAATAAATCCTATGATATACAACTCTATTCTATTTTCATAATCAAATTCATGACATTTGCCCAAGAGCATGAGGAAACCGTTCCAGGCTCGGGTTATGCAAATGCACCTGAATGATGAGAACATTTCAGGAATGCTGTTTATAACACCGCCTTGTCCACATTTGGCAAGAAGACCAAAAAGACAGCAGACTGGTTCAAAGCCCATTCGGAGGAGTTTATGTCAGCCATCGAGGAAAAGAGAGCTTTAGCAGCATACAAAGCCTGTCCTAGTGAGTACAACTTGCAGCTCTTCGAGTTGCTCATAGCAGGGTCCAACAGGCTGCCAGGAGATGTTCCAACAATTATTGGCTTCAGCTCTGCTGTCAGATACAGATAGTAGCAGACACAGGCAACATCAAGAGAATGTATGATGGTATCAAGCAGGCTTTAGGTCCAAAACAGAAGAAATCTGCTCCTTTAAAGTCAGCTACAGGTTTGATCATCCAGGACTGAACACAGCAAATAGAATGCTGGGTGCAGCACTACTCTCAGCTACATTCCAGAGAGAATGTAGTAATCAAAGAGGCATGAAATAACATTGAGTGTCTGCCTGTCTTGGAAGAGTTGGACAGGAAACCAATTTTAGCAGAAATAAAATCAGCCTTGGATTCCCTCACCTCTGGCAAGGCACTTGGGAAGGATAACATCCCTGCTGAAGTGCTAAACTGCTGTAAGGAGATCATCACCACTGAGCTGTATGAAATCTTTTGTCTTTGCTGGAGGGAAAGTTGAGTACCAAAGGACATGAAGGATGCAAACATTGTCACATTGTATAAGAACAAAGGAGACAGGGGTGACTGCAATAACTGCCATGGCATCTCCCTTCTCAGCATTGTAGGGAAGCTGCTTGCCCATGTTGTGCGGATGAGACTCCAGGTGCTTGCAGACAGAGTCTATCCAGAAACATAGTGTGGATTTCAAGCTAATAGATCACCACTAACACGGTATTTTCCCTCAGAAAGTTGCAGGAGAAATGTAGGGAACAATGAGAGGCACTCTTTGTGGCCTTCATAGATCTTACAAAGGCTTGGTTAGCAGGGACGGCCTTTTTAAAATACTTCCCAAGATTGGATGTCCACTTGGACTCCTTAACATCTTTAGGTCCTTTCATAAGGAAATGAAGGGCACTGAAGTTTTTGATGGCTCAACATCAGATCCCTTTGACATCTGAAACGGTGTGAAACAGGGCTGTGTCCTTGAATTGACTCTGGGAACTTTTTTGTGTCATACTTAAGCACGCCTTTGGAACTGCAACAGAAGGTGTCTGTCTCCGGACTAGATCAGATGGAAAGCTCTTTAATCTCTCTAGATAGAGAGCAAAATCCAAAGTCCAGCTGAAATGCTCGTGGGACTTCCTCTTTGCCGACGATGCAAGTCTTGTTGCCCATTCTGCTAAAGACCTCCAACAACTCATGAATCGCTTTAGAAATGGCTGCCAAGACTTTGGATTAACAATCAGCCTGAAGAAAACACAAGTCATGGGCCAGAGTGTGGACTCGCCTCCCTCTATTACCATCTCCACACAAGCATTGGAGGTTGTTCATGAGTCTGTGTACCTTGGCTCAATGATCTCTGACACTCTCTCCCTAGATTTCAAGCTGGATAAATGCATTGGCAAAGCAGCTACCATGTTCTCTAGACTCACAAAAAGAGTAAGGTTCAGTAAGAAGCTGACGGCATATACCAACATCTAGGTCTATAGAGCCTGTGTCCTGAGCACACTCTTGTACTGCCGTGAGTCCTGGACCCTTTGTGCACGGCAAGAGAGGAATCTGAACACGTTCCATATACATTGTCTTCGGCTCATTTTTGGTATCACCTGGCAGGACAAATTTCCAAATAGAGTAGTCCTAGAATGAGCTGGAACTTTTAGCATGTATATATTACTGAAACAGTGACATCTGCATTGGCTTGGGCATGTTGTGAGAATGGCTGACAGTCGGATATCAAAAGATCTCCTGTATGGAGAATTAGTGCAGGGAAATCGCGCAGAGGGAGACCACAGCTGCGATACAAGGATATCTGCAAGCGGGATCTAAGGCCTTAATGTAGTCATTATCTGAGCAATCTCTCAGCCTGGAGTACTTGTGAAGATTCTCAGTCATCCAGGTAATGATATCTGGAAGCTGAGTCATGGCAACTGGATTTCTTTCTTACTAGGTTGAAAAGTTTCATTACTCATCCAAGGAGCTTCTTCAGTCTGAAAAGAATTGGTAGGTGATCCCTGATATATTCTCCACGTTGGTTTCACTCCCCCCTGGTCTGAATAGGCTCTTTAGAACAACAAAGGATGAGAGATTAGGGAAAATCCCACTTCTGCAGTCCTTCTCCAACCATTGTCATGCATCGTTGATAGTCGTTAACAGTTGCCTTTCTGATGTGTGGTCTTGATCTTTCTGGTGACCCAGAGGTACTCATTTAGGACGGAGAAGATAGGTTGTTTGAAGAGGGGTCAGGGAGTCATACATGAGCATATAGAAAATCCCTCACAACAGAAAAACAACCACTTTGTTATAAGACTGACCAAGTGTAGAGCAGGCTTACTGTTAAGTGTTGCAAAGTAGATCTGTTGTTGCAGTTTTGTGGGCTGGGAAGGGTGGTCAATGTCAGTTTGCAGAAACAAACAAATAAAATTCAGGTTTTGTTTGAAGAGTGAAAAACAAACAAGAGGAGATTTGCTTTAGGCAAAGTGATGGTCTAAGAACCCTCAAGAACAGGGAACGTTTTGCCATGTAACTCCAGATAATTAGCATAAAATTTTGGAAGGCATATTCAAAGCATTTCTGCATTAGAAAAGTGCAGAACAGATGTGTTTGTTCCAGCCATTTCCTGGCTTTTTGAATTATGAGTACAGAAACACAGTATATCATATAATTAGGAGGTTTTTTGAATAACTGAATATACATAGCTAAATAGATGGAGGCATTTAAATATGTTCAAGGTATGAATGCAAAACTGCTATTGTAAAGATCATCAAGTAGTCCTTACACCAAGAATCTCTCAACTACCATGATTTTTGTCTAAGCTTTAATAGTGTGTGTTGATGTAGCTTTTTTTCCCCTCAGCAAGTGGCAAAGGATAATAAGAGAAGAAAAGAAGTAGAAGAAAAGCAGAAGCAGAAGCATGCCATGATTGCTAGAGAAAAGGCAGAAAAGGAAATACTAGCAAGACAACAAAAGAAGCATTTGTTAGAAATGAAAACAGGTAATATGGATTGCAAAAGGATGCTTTTAAAAGTTGTCTAGAAAAGTTATGTTTAAAGTCTTAAAGGGTTCTTATAGACATAACTGGTTGTTCACTTAAACTTCATAAAGAGGCATTAATCAAACTTCATGATTTCTGTGAATTATCTGTCTGATGCAAAGGGAAGGGTAATGTGAAATAAAAACTTCATTGCTTTGCAGGTTCACTGCAGTTAATCTTTTTGGTGTTAACTGCTTCATTTCTAACTTGATATTTTTGTTGTTTTCAAACTGTAGCATCATATTCTTTTGGTCTTTTTGTTGCTAATCTGATGACAGGATATGCATGAATGCTGTACGTCAGCATGCATCTGTATTCCTTCCAATTTATTCAAGCAAGGGAAGAAATCACATTAAACCACATCCTCCCATTACTTCCAAGATGAGAAATATGCTTAATGGCTTCCAGATATTAGATGACTTGTGAATTTTGGCCTCTTCAGAAACTACTAATCAACTTCCTGGTTTGTATACAACCAGCTACGATTTTTGGTTGCTTCCTGATTGTTGCATGAAATGAGGAGCAAACTGGCAGAAAAGGGGTGGTACACAATACTCATTCAACTCCTGTCTTAGCTGGAAGTTGAGTCGTGGCAACTGGACTTCTTTCTTATTAGGCTGAAACATTTTGTAACTCATACAAATAGCTTCTTCAGTCTGAGGAGAGTTGGTAGAAGACCCCTGATATATCCTCCATGTTGGTTTCACTTCCTCCTGGTCTGAATCTGCTGGTTAAATTGACAAATGACTGGGGGTGAGTGAAAATCCAACTTCTGCAGTCCTTCTCCACCCACTGCCATGTGTCATTAATGGTTGTTACCTGTGGTCTTTCTGGTAAGTGTGGTCCTAATCTTCCTGGAGATGGATGAAAGGGCAGCATGATAAATAGACAGAGTGTGTCTACAGCCTCCACTCCTCTTGAGTGAGGGATTTTCTATATTATTATTATTAGTTTTATTTGTATGCCACATTTCTCCCAACAAGGGTCCCAAGCATTAACATTCACATAATTAAAAACACAGTACAGTGGTACCTCAACTTATGACCATAATCCGTTCCAGAAGATGGACATAAATCGAAATGGTTGTAAGTCGAAGTGCAATTTCCCATTGAAATGCATTGGAACATGATTAATCCATTCCAGAAGAAAAAAACACCAAAAATAAAAAAAATAAAACACTTTAAGCCCCATAGAAATATGCTGGGGCTGCCAAAAAACCCACACACACACACCAGTAATAAACAGCAGAGCAAGACCTGAAGGCGCTGGGGCTTAAAAAATAAACAATGGAGCAAGCGCCAACAGAAGGTGCTGGGGCTGCAAAAAACAAAAACAAAAAAATAAACAACAGAGCAAGCCACGAAGGTGTTGGGGCTGTAAAAATGACTAAAAATAAACAACGGAGCAAGCCCCATCGGAAGGCACTGGGGCTGCAAAAAAAATCATGGTTTCATTTGAAGGGGTTATTCTGAATCCCAAAATTATTCCCAGCCCCTGGAGCTTGCTCACTCTAGTGCTAATGTTACTAGTGTCTCTTGGTTGGTTGCAGTATGACGGTTCCACATTTCATTTAGTTGTAACCTTGTATTTATCATTCTATCACATCATTTAATTTGGTATTTCTTTTCTGTTTTGTATAAAATGCTGCATGGTCCCAGTTTTTAGTGCAGTATTTAATAGGGACACTGTGTAGCAGTTGTATTAGCTCTAAATTGGATCACAGCAATATTTTAGTTACAAAAAGTTCTGGATCAAGTAGTATCCAGGGCACTTCATATCCCTATTGAATGTGCAGACAAGAAAAAAAAAGTCTTGTTCATCACTTGTGTGCCAGACGTACATTTTGGTTTTTAAGATTAAGAAGGTCTCCTTGGATGCATATGCTTAATTTGCAGTATAGCCCAAGGTCTGTCAACAAGAGTTTTCTTGGAAATCAAATATGAACGTCAGTGGGACCAGTGTAGTTATATAGTGGGCAATCCATACAGTATATAATCCAAGCACTCCACAAAACAACCTACAAATATGTGATCCCATTCATAAAAAGATGTCACAGTTTATCTAGAAGGGCTTCATAGTATGCTTACAAATACATGTTATTTATATAAACATTCATGTTTCTGTTAAATAAAGAAGAAAAAGCTAAAATGTCCAAGGGATCTAACTGTTGCGAGCGCACTGAAGCCTCTATTATCTCAGGCCTCCAGGAGGTGCTCACTCTTCTACTCAGTTGCTGCCACCAATATTTCAGTTTCAATACTAATTATTCAGTGAGACATGTGTTGCTTTAAAACTTAAACTTGTTTATTTGATCAGTTATATATAATAAGTAAATCACAAGTTGATAATCAATTTCTCTCACTCACTGAACTCACTGACACACAGAACCCTACTGTCACTGACTTTCTGGCTCACAGGCCTACAGACTCACGAAAACTCCTCTTCATACTCAGTACACCCCCTTTTATATCCCAGCCCCTCCCCCTTTAGCACCACCTTCAGTTCCCTCATTGGCTCCTTTTCGACTGCTCAGCAGTGACGGACAGGTGAGGGCAGGGCTGAACAGTACACTAACTTCTTCAGATTTTTTTTCTGAACTACAATTTCTTGACTAAGTTTGAAACAAATGGTAAAGGAAGAGGAAATTCCCCCCCATACTTCCCATTTGGCCGGATTTGAAATTTGCAGGATTTTGTTTTGCACAAACATTTGTAGTTTTAAATGTTCAGAATAAGCCTTTACATTTATTTACCAGTGCCATCTAGGTGGTATCTCCTATAGTATGGTAGAATTTTCAACTTTAATTTAGCCTTTCCTTCTTTTATTCCACTACTAAAATATCCTGGGCATACAAAACAATAGCAGTACCCTACTCCAACAAATTGCTTGCAATTTTAGGAGTAAGTAGTATTTCAGTCAGCATATGGCTAATATATTTTTCAAGTTTTTCACATTTTATTACACAGCAAGCAGTTCAGCAAATTACCCTTTTTCAGCCTAAGAATATTGTTGTACATTTGAACAGTTCAAATGGCGATAGTACTAGTAGTTATCATTATTTAGTATATATATTTATGAAAAGTATTAAACATTTTCCTATTATTTTTATTTTAGTTTTCTATTTACTATGTATTTTTCTATGTACAATAAATAGATTTTTAAAAAAATAAAAACATTTTAAAAACAATTTTTAAAACTGTCATACAGAAAAATGCAGTTTTGTCCACCATGGAGAGGATGGACAAGGATGGACCCATCTTGAGGGCGTTCCACAACTGAAGCATTCCTGGAGAGAAAGACCTCTCTTGTGTACTCACCAACCTAGCTTCTTGTGGGGACATGCAAAGGACCTCTGTTGAAAATACCAGATTCCAAGCGGGCTTGTATGGAAGGAGGAAATCTTCCCACTACAAGTCTAGTCCCAGGCCATTACTGTTTATAAACTGCCATTTCATCAGATCATAAAGATAGTTCACAAACAAAAATACAGTACACTTTCCAACACATTTTATTTGAAAAAACAAGCAACTTTGCTCCGATTGTTTGATATGTCAACATATACCTTTATAAACTGTAACTCCATATAATTAGAATATAAATATAAAGAGGACAGTATAGGTGGATAATTACTCTATTGAGCTCTTGAGTGTATGTAAGTAAGTATATGAAATTGTTGTACTGTAATTTTAAAAAGAGATTGTTTGAAACCTAAATGTTAATTTTCTTAATGGAATGTTGCACTTGTTTAAAATACAAAATTAATCAATCAAAAGTATAATGAATGACAGGCCTCCTCTCATGGGAGAGCACTTGACGGATTCACAGTGAAAAGCAATTTTTCTGATCCATTCAATACAAATCTAAACAGCTTTCAACTTAGAAGATGGTGTCTTGCAGGGCAAGCTGCTTCTACAAGGGAAGCAGGAATGATGATGTTCTATGGTTTCATTCAGGGTTCAGAAAGATTTAGAGGCATGTGAATGGTGCTCCATTACATTTAAAGTTACTGCTCTATCTCATTTTAGAATGCAGTGATGTGAAGTGAATCAGATGAACTTCAGTCTGCTTTAGCAGACACAATATGAACAATAACAGGACTGACTTCTTGCAGATCTGATTTATGAGTAAATTAATGGCTTGTCTGAATTTGAAATTGCCAGCTTTTTATTGTTACAGCTTTTTCTTCATCCCTGTAAATCCTTTGGCATTGCTATGGCAACCCTACAAACTGAATGAATTCCCACCATCTCTTTTTACAGAGTGCGATGAAACAGGAGTGATGGATAGTCTACTGGAGGCGTTGCAGTCAGGTGCTGCTTTCCGAGATCGAAGAAAACGAGCAGCAAGGTTTAAAGGTAAATATTCTTTTTTCTATGTTAGTTTTGATAAAATTATGGAATTCTGTAGAAAGTAGAATTCTGCAAGACTATGTTTAGAACAATGCACCCATTCCCATAACACTGCTTTAATACTTTTCCTAGTAAAGTGAATTGTAGCAGAGTGTCAGTTGTATGAATCAACATACTGAATATAATCTGTGAAATACAAATATACTGAGAGTATAACCAGAAACATGAAAGAATTTTCTAAAACATAACTAGATATAGGGGTATTCATATATGAATATGAATATCCCTGCACAGGTGGCATTAACGAGGGTCCAGCCCCACTGATCCACTGTGGACACAGATGGCATGATTCTATCAATGGCTCCACAGCGATCTGGTCGCCACTCCTGGCAGGAGCCTCGCTACAAGGTCAAAGAGTGACGAGCAGATTGCATGCTACAGAGCCATTGGTAGAATCACGCCATCTGCGGTGGATTAGTGAGTGAACCGTCTGTAACGTTCAGCCCTGCCCTCACCTGTCCGTCACAGCTGGGTAGTGGAACAGCAGCCAATGAGGGGACGGAAGGTGGTGCTAAAGGGGGAGGAGCTGGGATATAAAGGGGTGTGTATGGGGTTTTGAGAGAAATTGTTTGAGAGAGTTTGAGCTGAGGGTTTAAAGTGATTTTTAGTTATAGTGAGTGAGAGAGCCTGTCAGTGTGAAATAGTCTGTGTGAGCCAGTGATTTATTAACAGTGATTGACTTATTGATTCTTTACCAGTGATTTACTATTCTTTTATTTCCTGTAATCAATAAACCAGTTTTTTGTTTTTCAAAGTTACACTTGTCCTTCGCTTGATTTTTAAGGATAGGTTGGTGGCAGCAGAGATTTTACAGTGAGGTAGCAACCACTCTATAAGGCCAGTGATTGACTTATTGATTCTTTACCAGTGATTTACTATTCTTTTATTTCCTGTAATCAATAAACCAGTTTTTTGTTTTTCAAAGTTACACTTGTCCTTCGCTTGATTTTTAAGGATAGGTTGGTGGCAGCAGAGATTTTACAGTGAGGTAGCAACCACTCTATAAGGCTTGAGGGTGGCTGTTACAATAAATTGGTGTCCAGCGGCGAGATTCAAAGATCCAGTGAAGCCTTGACTGGAAAGGTGACCAGAGCAGGAGTCTTTAGTCAGGGACGTCTGAGTAAACGCGTGGGTAACCTTCTAGGACTTGTCTCACGGGGAGGGAGTCTAGTAGAAGGGTGTGGGACCTCAGATTGGGGACTAAGACAGGGAGGCTCTGTGGTGACCATTTCTGTGAAGAGTTGCCCAAAGCAAAAGCTGTGGTAGATTGGCTGGCTTGTCCTGAGTTTGGGGAAAACTCTGAGAGGACAAAGTGGAGCCAAGGGCAGTTAGGCTGAGGGAACTCAAAAGCCGCCGAACCTGGGACA